CCTCAAACTTCAAGGCCACACTGGGCCTCAGGGAACCCTGTTCAAATGCAGATTCTGACTCTGTAGGGCCAGGCTTGGGGTTCTGCACATTTAACAAGCTCTCAGGCCCTCCCTGCTGCTGTGGGTCCAGAGACCACCCAGGGAACAGTACGGATCTGATATTGGGTTCTTTCTATTTCTCACTTCCCTCACACCTGAGGTATCACTACATCTTATTTTTCATCCTGTCAAATTCCAAACGGATTGTCTTTCTTGAGGGTCATTGCTCTGGAGCCTGTAGAGAGTTTTTTTTTTTTGCCCTGATAACTGCGGCCATTCACCCCACCCTCAAATTGTACCCCCACTTACCCCGAACCCCCTTGGCTTTCAGCTTGGTTCTACTGGGTTCTTAAAATTAGCAAACTTTTCCCAGAATACAATGTCCCCTTTTGTCAATGAAGATATCTATTTAATTTCTTTTTCTGATTTGTTCCCAGAAGACTTCGAACGCATCCCCAGGCCCTCCCTTTCCAAAACAAAAAGGTAGGTAGAACCGGAGGGAGGCCGTGAGGACGGAGGTCAATATTCACACCCAGCCTTGCTTTCCTCCCAACCGCCATATTACATGCATTGTTCTGTATGATTTCTAACTTTCTCGATTTTAATTTATTCTTTCTGAGTTTTAAGTGTTTCATCGTAGTGGCTTGGATTTTTTCCAATCCCATGATTATCTCTCTATTAAAACCTTAATACAAAAAGAAATAAAAAAAAAAGCCAGACTGCTCATTACTTTGATTTGTAGCAAAGAGAGAATGGAACATTACTGCTAGAGTGTTTCGAGAAACCATATTTACATTTGCATCAGCTCAATTTAGGTGCCTGATTAGGCTGCGTGTGATGATGAAGATGCACTTACCAGTCAAAAGGAAGTGGCGTGGCCCGCAGTAAGGAGCAGGAGACTCCGAGTCAGGAGCCCTGAGTGCTATTTCTGGCTGTGACTGGCTAGTCTCTGACCTTGAACAACTCTGTCTCACTGCCTTAGACCCTAATAGCCCCTATCTGCCTTGTAGCCCTGCTGTGAGGGTTCCTCAAGCATTTATTGTAGTGGGGGCTAGGGCAGTTGGGGTCACAAATGGAACTGGAGACAGGATCTCTACTTGAGAGCTCTTAYACTAACCAATTAGGAGATGGTGTCTGAGCAGTGGGCTGATTGCTCAGCTCTTGGTCTGGTGGGGCCAGAGGACATGTGAGAGGCTGAAGAAGATCAATGGAGTCACAGAGCTGCTGGGTGAGATGCCCAAACCCGTCCTGTTCTTTAGGAGATCCGATTGTCTYCTCTTAAGAGCACCACTTTGAGCTTGTGCACTTCATCCCTGGGACCAACCAGGGCGCCAACAGAGACCAGTCTCTAAGCAATCCTGACGTTAGGAGCAGGAGTGTGACTCATGGCAGCTCTAATATGTGCAGGAAACCATCTTGCTTCCTCCACCAGACCTTGCAGCCAGTAAGAGCATACCCCAGAGAGGAGTCAATCGTTTTGCAGTTGAATTCCTCTCCCAGTGAAGAGCCAGATTGAGGGGTAAGGGTTAATGTGCTTTAAAAAAGCAAACAAGAGAACAGTTCTCCAAATATAGATGGTCAGTAGACAGTGCCGCAAAGACAGCACCCCTGGTTCCCACTGCATTCCCATGCTTTCATAGTCTAGTATTTATTGAGGACAATCTAATAATAAGTAATATTTACTAAGCACCGTTTTAAGCGCCTCACATCAATTAGCTCATTTAATTACCCCATCCATCCATTAGATGGGCACTATTATTGTCCTCACTTTACGAGTAAGGAAAATGGGAAACAAGGAAATTAGGTAATGGTGCTCCAGATAGAACCCGAGTCCCTTGGCTCTAGATTCTTCACCCTGAAGCCCCTTCGCCGACTGGAATACAAACATGTACAGGAGAGCATGACGCTCTCTAGGGGCCACGGTCAGAGAGGCTGGAGAAAGTCCAGAAKGACTAGTCACCTCCTCAAAGCCACAGCTCACCCAGATTTCCAGCTGAGAAGGTGGAACTGGGGGTTCAATATGAGAACCTTGCCGTACAGTGGGTGAAGGGCCTCTCCTCTGTGTGTGAGAGTTTCAAGTGATTCCGCACCAAGGATTCCAGCCCCACAGGGAGGTCTCACTCTCTTCTACCCGAGTCCAGCCCCGTTGTCGTACAGAAGGCACCTGGGGATATCATCTGATTGCCAGGTGCCAAAAGAATGAAATGAAATACTAATTCAGCCTGAGACCCGATATCTGTTCAAAGAGCATTACTGGTATTCTCTGTAAGCTTCTTGATTCCCTCTGCCCTTTCAGGTAGTAGGGGAAGGGTTGGGGGATGACTCAATTTATATTTTGCCAGTTTTCTCTGCCCTGTTTGAGTTAGTGTGAGCAAGGTCCCGACTTTGCCAGAGGCCATTGGCCCCAAAGACCAAGGGGAAGGGGTAAGAGAATTCCCAGTGGAAAAACACAGACAGTGCTACGTGTGCTGATGGGACTGCCATTTTGCTTAACAACCAAAGGCAAAACTCCCAGAATGCTCCTGGAGCAGTGGTGTGTGACCATCCTCTCTCACTCCACCAGGGTCACAAATCAGAATCCTGCATTCCTGTCAGAATGACTGGTTACTGTTTCCCCAAGTACAGGTTCATGTGCAATAACTGACCCCAGAGAAACAGAATGGCACCGCGTAAGAGCTTGTCACATTAAATGATCAGAAAACCATTACCAACTGATAGAACGGTTGATGGTGCAGAAGTGATTACGGACGCTCCCCACAGGCCTGCTCCCAGCGGCCGCCCAGCCGTTAACTGGCTGTCAGGCTGCCCAGACATGGGATGGGGGCTTAGTGACAAAAAAAAACCTACTGAGAGGAGAAGGAGGCTGGGGGTTCTTCCCTGAGTTCCTGAAGCCCTCTGGAGCGGGCAGGGGTGTTAAGATCCTCAGCCTGACTTCACTTCCAATACACTTTAAAAAATTATTTTTGTGACAACAGTGTTTTTGTGAGATTTGGGATCCACCAAATATTCTCAGGTGCATTGAATTTTATTTTACTAGACAGGAAGAATTTTCTGCTTAGCACATTCTAGAGTAGATTTTCTGATCCCAGCCCCTTGCCCAGTGAGATGGAAAAATAAATTCTTTGATAAGGGATGGATCACTCTGAATCTGCCTTATCAGCAGACTGTGGGGGCACACGTCTAGATTCTTAGACGTTTACTGAAGGTGGGGTTCTCGCTTGCTCCGGAGCTCTTCTCATCTGCTTCCACCTGAGCAGGTGTGAACCGTCCCAGGCTGAGCTGGCCTCTCCCGTCCTCAGTGGTTAGATGTGAATTTATGCTGCAGGTTTGGGAGGATGACAAGGACCAGAGTCACTGAAGCAGGAAGCGTGAACCACATTCCCTTCCTGGACCAGACTGGAGCCCCACACCCTGTGAAGGAGAGGCGGGCAGGCCACGCCTGAGCTCAAGACTTCATTTCCCTATACCTCTGGACCCACGAGGTACCAAGCCCTCAAATATCCGTGTCTGCCTCTTTGTCTCCGTCAAGTGTGGAAATTATGAAACAGGCCAGTGCCCTGCATAAACAGCTGCTCTCTTACACTTTTGGGATCTTCCGTGCTGAATACTCCTAGAACTTATTTCTGAGGCCCTGTCCTAACCTAAATAGGTTGCCTGGTTACTGCAGATGTTAAAATAACTCCCAGAAACAGAAAACTGTCTCTACTTTAAGAACTCAAACTCTGAAGTCTGACTAGTTGGGGGCTGATCCTGTTCCACTATTGACTTGCTGTGTGCTCTTCAGCAAGTGGCACAACTTTTCTGGGCCTAAATTTCCTCATATTTAGAAAAGGGAAAATAATTGTTCTTCTAACAAAGCGTTGTTGGAAGGATTCAGTGGAGTGATTTACATAAGCCACGCAAAGTTCGCAGAGACCCCAAACATTAGTCTGCTCACAGGATTGAAAATGCACATGCTCAAATGTTAACAATAGCCAACTCCAGATGCTAAAAGAATGGGTGGTTTTATGTTTTTGTCTCTTTGTGCTTTTTCATGTTTTCTCCTCTCCCCCACCCTTTTTTTTTTGCATGAGCAACTAATTTATAATTAAAAAATAAATATCTTTGAACAAAGAAAGTTCAGTGAAGCTCCCAGGGTTATGTGACCATCTCTCTTCTGCAGACAAGGTGAGGAGGGAAAGGAGCATGGCAGAGGGGCAGGTGGGCAGAGAGGTCACGGGGGAGTTTGCAATCAGGGATTCACCTGTGGGGGCCCTGGGCCCTGCAGGGCCACCCAGGGGGAAAACTTGAAGGAGCATTCTACTTCGGAGGCCCTGGCCCAGCAGCCCGGAGTAGATACCTGGCTTATCCCACATCAGATGGCCCAGCAGGACTCAGTGTTGACTTTCAGCTTTGAGGCTCCTGGAGACGGGACTAAGCAGCCAGGAAGGTCCAACCCAGCTCCATGCACAGGCTGCTGGGCCCTCGGGGCTGAGGAGGGTGGGGCAGGTCTGCCCCTGACCCCACAGAGCTCTGCAGACCTCCAAGGCCAGAGCCTGAAAGTCCCTTCCTTCATTTGCATGTCTAAGTAATTACGACTCATAAAAGTATCTAACCCATTAGTTAAAACCCGGGCCCCAGCGTTTGACTCTGACCTCCTACGGCAGCCGGGCCACATGCTGACTCCATGCCGCCTGATTTGTCCTCAATTTATAAGCAGCACAACCTATAAATAGAAACCCTTTTGCTAAGTTCCCCAGGAGGCATCGGCAGGCTCTCCAGCTTGTCTGTGTTTTCGTCTTTCTGTTTTAAAAACCAACATGGTGGCTTCTTTTCCTTCCTGGTGTCCTCCAGCTGTCACCTCTAGTTCAGTTGGAGGGCATTCTGGCTGCTGTCACCGTCGGGCCAGCACACTGGGCAACCCGCCTGGTTGTGTTCTGAGGGAGGGAGGCCCCATCTTGGTCCGGGAGGTCCCCACTCACCTGTAGATCCTGTACCTGGTGGTGAATCCCTGCCGGTAGCGCTCCATGAAGTCGGCATACTCTTGGGCGCGGTGGAAGGGGCCCCGGTCTGTGAGCAGCCAGTCCAGGGGCGGCTGGCCAGCTGAGGCAGCATGCTGCTCTGGGACCACGGCGGCCACCGTGGCCGAGACGGCCAGCACCCAGCCGGGCAGGCCCAGTGCCAGCAGCGCTGCCCATGGGGCCGCCGGCCAAAGCCCTCTAAACCGAGTGCCCCACTGCCACCTCATGCTTCTCCGGGGCGGTTGGTTTCTTCATTCTCTTGCCACGCTCTCCCACTCTGCCGCTCTTCCAGGGCTCTGGAACTAGAAAGGCAAAGGGACATGTCAGGTGGGCACCTGGTGCTACCCTGAGGGCCTSTGTTCAACACAGTTGTTCAGGGCCCATATGGAAATCCTTTACCCTAGTGACACCCAGCCTGGAGCCAAGCACTCCAGGTACATCATCTTACTTAATTCTTCAAAAAGTCCCCGAGGAAACATTACTGTCATTATTTTAGACATGAGAAAACGAGGCTGAGAGTGTCGAAGGCAGTTGCTCAAGTCCACTCATGCACAAAGTGATAAAACCAGAACTCGAACTCGGGGGTCTGGCTTGTAACCTTGGTGTCATATTGCTTCCATGCCTCCTCCTTTGACTCACCCCAACACCATCTGTTTCTGTCTTTCTCAAAAGCATTCAACAGGTTCCCATAGCCGCCTCACAGACTGCAAGTAGCAACCTGTTTTTCCAATGGAGACTGGGAGGGCAGAAAGGTAGTCAAGTCTGATTGTTGCTAGGAAGCTGGGTGACCTTGGGCCAACCACTCTCCTGTCTGGGGTTCATGTAGCCTCTAGAAAATAAAGAGGTTGGCTCCAGAATATCTAAGCTCTCTTCCAGGGTGGGACTTCCAGCTGTTCTTTTGTTGAAGGCTAAGCTGGGATGGAGTTTGAATGGGATAAAAGACTGCCATACTGCCATCTTTGGACCAGGTCCACAGCTGCCAGGGTATCCCTGGGGCTCCGTCTCTCACGTGCAGCTGARAGTTACAAAGGCCAGAGCCACATCTCACTCTTGTCTCCTTCTGACTAGCCCCCTAGAGCACAGAGCAGCCCCAGACCCCCTCCATGAAGCAATGAATGAGGGCATGCTCTGGCTTCTCTGAGTTGGAGGGAAGACACCAGGAAAGAGGAAGATTCTGGGCTTGGTAGTTCCTGGCTGCATCGTCACTCACCACAGGCCTGATTTCCAGGGCTGCACATTGTCTAAGGACAACTAGTCACCTTTATCAACCTTGAGGCAGGTGCAGGCCTCATTCAGTACTGTGGAGCTGCCTGGAATTGTAATCACCCTTCAATCTTTAATTTCCAGCACATGTTGTCACAGTGCTGTCCACGTCTCCTCGCCAGCACCACTTCAGTGTGTGCCAGAATGACTTCCAGCACCCAGTACCTGTCATTCATGGCTGGAGGACCCTCTCTGTCTGCCAAAGCCCAGGGGCAGGCTCCCTGGGGATAAGGCAAGGGGGTAAATTTCCTGGTACTTCCAGACAGGGCAGACAAAGTGGGCTTGACCACCTGATCCATGCCCCTTTCCAAGTTCCCCAGGGTTCCCAGGATCAAAGGGAACCTTGAAGGTTCAGACACTGGATCCAGGTCTGAATCCTGGAACTCCCAGCACAAGGTCGGCCCGAATTTGAGCATTTGTACAGGACACTTTCAAGAGTCCCTGCTCATAAGGATGGAGGGACAGGAGCATGAGGGCCGGACATTCAGAAAGTACCCTCCCCTCCAGCTGGGAGGAGGTAAGCACCTACTGCATGGTGGGTTGTTCTTAGAAGTCACCTTCGCTCTCACTGTAAGGTTTTTTATGTAGGCCTTGTTGTTATTATTATTGTAAGTTCACATTTCCCTGGGACTCAAAGGGGGGGATCAACGGAAAACAGGGGTAGAATATAAACCTGGATGGGGCTCCCTGTTCAGACCTTGCCAAAAAGTACTCTACTGCTTACGGAGCTAGAGCAGGCAGCAAGAGAGACCCCCGCTTAATGAACTGGCTGAGAAGGGGCTGAAAAATAAGAACGATGACGGATCTTAAACCAGGATAAAAATTCTAATAATTAAAATAGGCTCACAAATTGGGCAAGCAGGCCAATGAAATAGCACAGCTCAGAGAGAAGCTTTATATATAAAGAATTTAGTATACAAGGGAGAAAAAATGCACCACAGACTAATTGGGTAGGGATGGAATATTTTATCCATATATTGGGAACTTAGTTCCACTTGGATTAAAAATTAAATATAAAAAATAAAATCATAGAAGGAAAATCCCCAAGTGTGTTTTTTTTTAATAAGCATGCATTACCAGGAAAAAGAAAAAGTGATTCAAARCTAAAAGGAGGAATCATCCTTGCATATGGAGGGAGTAGGCATCTTTTATATGGATGAAATCTGATGAGGATGCCCAAAGTATTTCTCATTTAATCTTTCACATAGTCATCTACTGAAGACCCATAAATTAAGAATTCTTAAGTGCCAGGCACTCTGCTAAGTTTGGACAATATAAAAGCAAGGGCTCATTATGTTACCTAAAACTCTATTATTAGTGATTAATTCCTCGTATAACACATTGCTCTGTCTTTTAAAGGCATATTGATGGACAGTGGGGAGGAGGGCTCATTTGGGAGGCTACGGCTATCTGACACAGGAGGCCAAAGCAGTACACACAGGAAAGTGGGAACGCAGACATGGGCAGGACGTATGGAAAGCAGGGTCTCAGAGTGGCCCCCCAAGAATTCCACGTCCTACGTTGCATGCCTCATACGACCCACTCCTGCCGAGTGTGAGCGGTGCCTGTGAGAAAGATGAGATATCGCTGCTGTGATCAGGTTAATAATCAGAACAGCTTTGAGTTACCATGTGATGCTTGCCAAATGCATCGAAAAAAGTCCAGGAAGATTAGAGTTTAGATGGTGGTGATGGCATCCAGGACAAAGACTTATAGATGACTTTGAGCAATATTCTGGGTAGGCTTGGCTGAAACAGGTGATTCTTTAGAAGATGGTGAAATGTCAAAGAGTCAAGTTCAAACTGGCCTGCAAGAGAACAAAAGCCATGCTGTGTCCTGCCTGTGTCTGACACAGCAAGGAATTGCAGGTGGCCTCCGGGAGCCGAGAGCTATCTAGCTATCTCCATCCAATAGCTAGCAAGAATATGAGGAGCTCAGTCATATAACTGCAAGGAAAGAAATTCTGCCAACAACGACGTGTGCTTAGAAGAGGACCCTGAGCCGACAATGAGAAGCCCTTCCCTGGCAAGCACCTCAATTCCATTCTGGCAAGATCCTAAACAAAGGACTCAACTAAGAATCTAGCTCTGATCCACCGAAACTACAAGATAATAAACTTGCAATTAATTGTTTTATGCTATTAAACATAGCATATTTGTTGTTTGTGGTAATTCATTGTACAGCAATAGAAAAATCATGCAGACATATACAAGATAACTACACCTTCTCCCATCAGGGCTTAAGGCCTGGCCCTGGAGGATTCTTGCTCCTTGAAGAAAATGAGCTGTTATTCTCTGTACGAGAAAAAGCTTGCATGGTAGATTCTTGAGCAGAGTGATATTGATCCTCTCCCCAACTGGACCCTCACACCACACCCTCCCTTCATAGCTTACGGACCCTTCAAATTTGGAGGTCGCCTCTCTGTTCTTGGCATTTCATCTCACCAAGAGTTGGCCCTTACATGCATCTGATGCCTCAATTCCATGCACTATGTCAGGGGGCACTGTGGGCCAGGGACGGCTTATGGCCACACCTAGTCGGTTAACCTCAGGGTGCACTGGCCTCCCAGGCTCCAAGTGAGATGGAAGCCATCACCGCGCCCATCAGCTCCTCGAGACAGGTGAGAGCACTCGTGTGAGTCTTGGGAAGAAGGGAGCTATATGAAGTGCGCTTCTTGTCATTCTTTGTTTGTAATTATGCTTTTTCAGAGCTCACAATGCGCTGGAACCTGCCTGGTGATAGGAATATCAGCTTCAGAATCAAATGGTTTTGATTGCTGGGCCAAGTCTGCTGAGCGCAGCAGGAASGTCTGAATTCCGTGCTCGCGGCTCCCCTCCTGAACCTGGCCCTGGATTCACACGCTTTCCGCTTCACTGGTTTTCCTCAGGATCTGAAGACATTTTGACTAAAAAAATATATATAAAAAAAATCTCTTTTTCAGGAAGAGAAGTGTTAAACAGGTTTCAAAACTTTCTTCATAAAATTTCTAGAACGTGTTCCCTCCCCTTAAAAAAAAGACAAAATAATTGCTGTGTTGACAGTTGGATAAAAATCAGGCTTTTGAAGAACAGCTTTGGGCCATTTCCTGTTTATTCTGTAAAATAAGGTCACTAAATTTTGGAATGGCAACCTGTCAAACAAAGTTGAACTGTCTGGTTCTCAGGACGTCTGGTGGCACCCTAAAGTGCACAGGATGAAACAGTTGGCACCTCCCACGTCGGCTTCCATTTCCCTCCTCGTCCYGGGGCCCCCGGGCACATGAACACGAGGCCCCGCTAGTTCCCTGACCAAAACGCCACGCGCGGACTTCCCAAAACCAGACGATCTCCTTTACTTTCACTGTCCTTGAGGCCGMGTTCCACCGAGGCAAAATAATAAACTGGCTTCACACCCACGATGCGAGCGAGAGGAGCGTGGGTTTTCCTTGGCTGAGTGCATTAGCTCAAATCTGCTCTTTAAGCCGTGAATTAAGTGGGTCACAGTTTTGTCAATAGAGAAAATCAAGTACAGCCCAGGTCACGTGGGCAACAAGCAGTGTGTGCGGTCCTCAACATGGGAGCGCTTTAGCCAGGCGCACACTGTCACCCGGCTGAGATTTTAGGGGTTCGGTTGGGCCCCGGCCCCCACCATGGCTGGCCATCTCCTCTCACACTCGGTGTGTCAAAAGAAGGAGCAATTAGGATGCGGGCCTGAGCCGCCTGTGCGCTCACTCTTGGCAAATAAAGTGGAAACAGAGGCTTCCTCAGTGAAAATCACCCCAGGGCTGGGGCGTGGCTCAGAGAGAAACCACTTGCCTGGCCTGGGTGAAGTTCCATCCCAGCAACACACACACACACACACACACACACACACACACACACAGAAAACTTCTACAGAAGAGGGGCTGTACCTGTGGGTGTGACAGTATTATTGTAATTAATTTAATTGCTAATGTTGCTTCTTCCTAACCAACACCAGTATAAGTCGTTGAATGTCTGTGTGGCAGTGACAGCTTATTAAACAGATTATAAAATTATCCCCTGAAGAGGTGAGAACACTG